CTTCTGGAAGTCGGCAATTTGAAAGTACTTTGAGACGTTTTCAATACGAATTAGTTTTGAGATTAATGATTTGCTTGCGACAGCGACATTCGCAAGTACGCATTTATTGAGTTGGATTTACTATACTACTGTATTATCCTCTCCTATCCATAAAATGGGCGAAATTCGTGGTAAACTTTTGCTGAACTGTATCTCAATCATGGCCTTACTTTGGAGATCGATTTTCTTATAAGTAGATCTATATAAAGTAGGACTTCTTAAAACACATTCAATGATGCCTGTAGAGTTTGAAGTTGGGAAAGGAAAAAAATGGCATTAGACATTGTATGAAAATTGAAATAAAGGCGAAAAACGCAGTGAAATGTTTCCTGATATTCAAAATGCTTTGTGAAAGGAGGTAGTGTATTGTACTAACTCAATATGACAAATGGTCATCTAAGTGCCTTTGAGTAGATAATTTCTATACAAAGCTTCTCAAGAACACTTGGCATATATGTTGGATGATGTGCCGAAGGCTGTCTCCATTTCTCTTATGTAGAAAAGAGCTTGAATTGCGTATCCCTTGAATCTGAGTTCTTGACTCACGAAAACGCAATAGGTATTTAACATTTATAAAGGCAATTTTTTATGACCATATAGTATATGACTCCCGAGAAAGATGGTACGCCAGCAGCACCTTTAGGTTCTCTTAAGCAGCAAATCGCAAATTAATTGAAAAGAAGCTTCCTCACATTTTCAACCGAACGCTCATTCTGAAATTCTCCATTAAATAAAATAAAATCAAGTCTGACACTGTTGTACTCACTCCTTGGAATAGTTCATCATTCCATGATTTGAAAAATTTCTTGAAAGTAGGTGTTTCCTTGCCTTGATAGATCGTTTCAATAATGGTTTGCTTATGACGCGGCAACTTCCCTTGTTCCAGATATTTCTAGAGAAATTTTAAACGATATAGCTTCTAGTCGCTAGTTCTAAGTATGAACCTGACCTTCGCTGTGTTGAGAGCTCCCTTCTTCTCTTCTTGATTGGCTCCTAGACCGACCCAAACATAAATGGTGTTCAGTGCATCTAGGATCATAACGTCGTCGCCATCCAAGCTCTGTATGTAAGTTAAGATTTTTCTACCAGAGACAGCTCAAAGCTGCAACTCCACTTCCTGATTGAAGTTGGCAATTTCTTCGACTTTCATCTTTCCGCTCTCATCTGAAACTTGGAAGAGTCGCGGCTCAAACACCTTCTTCTTTTTGGCGTCTTCCCATTCTCCAAACCTGCATTTCAGACATTGCCCACTTTTCATAGAAGACAATGTTTCAAAACTGAAGTTGCTTTATTCTTTAGTCATTATTTATCTAATGGTCTTGCAATTCTTCGATGATAAAGCGTATAGAGAAATTGGTGCTTTTTTCCTGCGAGCCTCTATGGGGAGCAGGTGTTGCAAAATAATCTAGATAAAATACCCAAATACACATATTTTGGATTTTATCTTGGATTGCTGTTGGAAATGAAAATGTGTGTGACTTGCCATTGCGTAAAAGAGGAAGGCTCGGCTGATTCAAGTACTCTCGTGACCTGAGTCCATGGCGGAAGTTTCTAAGAGAAATGAAAGAGCTTTGGTATTCACAATCTCACAAGACAAACCTTTTCTTTAAGGAACTGCTCTCCATAAATCATCGCTTTTGATCGCTCATTCATGGTGCAGCCCTTACCAACCCAAATATAGATGCCGCCGTTAACGGCATCAAGGATGAACGCGTCCTGTGACTATTCTTAGTCATTTCATCTGCTTTATAAGAGTTGGACAAGCTATTGTAAACTATTTATACCTGCGTATCAAGCATATTTCGCTTGAGTTCTCCTTGAGCGACCTTCGTCAGCTTCAGTGTTCCAGAAGCATCCGAAACTCTGTAAAAAGTCATAAACGTAATAAGCTTGACAATCTTCACATAAAATGACTCGACAACTAACTTTATAACTCACCGCCACAGAGTCATTTGTTCCGTGGTCCTCTTCCAGTAATTCTCATCATCATCCTTAGCGACAGCGATTGATTTCACAGCACCAAGTCCTCCGAAATGTGACCAAAAATCTTCGTCCGTGTTCCAGTCGGAATCTAAATGTAATCTGGACTGTTACCTACATTATAGAAGGATTGTAATTATTTATACCAAGAACGTGCACCGAAGACGCTCCGCTTCTTTCATCAAAAGCGATATTTCTGGCTCGGGCCATTCCCTGTAAATATCTCCATCATTGAGGTCTATAGAAGTGGGGGTTGTAACACCTTGATCCGTTCCAGTCTTCCACTTTTAGGTGGCATCCAGACGTAGATATCTTTCCCGAGATCCAGCAGGAAAACATCGCCAAGGTTCAGAGATTGCTTTTTGAACTCAACCTGGGAATTCATTCATCACTCTAAGTGAATCGGAAAATAGATAATAAAGTTCAATAAACAAAGCGCTTATATTGGTTCGGTATTACCTCAGTACATCGAACATTCCTTTTTCCCTTGCAGTGATACAGATGAGGTTTGAAATTGTTGAACAAACCTTCCACATGATGATATCCAGATTCATATCCTCCCATGATATACCTATATATACTCCGTAAATGCAAATTCACTTTGTACTGCATAAACATAGTATAAACTCCCCCACCTAATCCC